CATATATATTTTGCATCTGAAAGTCTAAGATGCTTAGATAGCCTCATGAACTATCCTAGTCAAGAAAATGTATCTTTACTTGAAACTGTTTTTGGAGAATGTTAGTCTCACAAACTTTTTCGACAATTAACATGGAAATGGAAGAGAATATTTTTTCATGGTGCAGTGGCTGTAGAGTTTTAATGTCTTCTCTGTTGGGTGTAGGTGAAATTCCTTGTGAGAATTCATTTGCTCAGGCAGGTCTCCAGTCTTTTAAGAAGATCACCAACAATTGAGTCGGAGAAATTTCGAGATGATTTCTTGATGGTAGGTGTTGTTTGACCTTGTTATTGGAGTTGACGTGGTTATAGTAATGTAGCCTTTCAGTATTCTCTCTTTTTTTTAAAAAAAAACTTTGGAGTTGGAAATGTCTCTTTATTTGCAGGATATTTTGTAAGAGTTTTCTAATAAGACTTTCATCAGCTTCAAATAATTACTATGTAATTGCAACGTTGGAAACTGCTAACTAGAAATTTTCATATTTGTTCTAGGTCCACTAATCAGCTTTTGCCACTTTCTGATTCTATTACTTTATTTGCTCTTTTCTTATGTGCAGGAATATAATGACACATTGTTAGTTAGTTACCTGGCCATGTTCACCAACTGCTCTAGGTATGATATCCAAGGCTTCTTGCACTAATGCTTTTGAGATTTGTACAAGTAGTTGACTCTTTTTCCCCCTTTACTCCTTTTTATTTTTCATTATTAAAGAAATATCCCAGATTATTGTGTTGACAATAGGGCTAAAGTTCAGATAATAATGGTTTTTGCCGAAGTTGCATTAAGTTTAAGTGGAAATGCAGATAAAATTGAGGTGTCCTGTGAATTTGGTAAAGATATCAATTATTTGGTACAAAGCAGAGTCATTAAAATAGTAATTGGTACATCCTTATTAGATAATACTGAATGAAACAATACATCTTTTCAAACAACACAACACAATCCAAGATTTTTGACTCCTATATGGCTTTGATCATAAATCTAAAGACACAGAGCTGGAGTAGATAACTTCATGGATCTCAAAATTAGATCGATAATTCGGTTTTTGATACGAGGATGCCATCACTATCTGCATATAACCACTCTCCTTCACGAATCATCATACCTCCAATGTAAATAGGGACATGCTTTTCGCTTTGGCATTTCTTGTTCGGTTTCTGAGGGTGTGATGCCAATGCACGAACACCAATGTCACAACCGTTAATCTCAATGGATTTCTTTTTCTTTTCAAAAACTCCATTTTTCTCATTTTTCTGAGCATGTTTTTGAAAAATTCACTTCATTGAGTTAGTCAGACCACCTCTGGTTCAAATCGAATTTCAAATGGAAGAAATCCACAGATTGCCAGAATCCATGTTGTATATTTGAAAGAGGTTGACCTCCTATCTACATCTCGAATGCAGCCATTAACTACAATACCTGCCCAGCCCATATTCTGGGCTAGTTGTCCCAAGTTTCCTCCTAACAAAGCACATCGCATACTCCCTCCACCATCTATGACAAGGACTCTTCCTTCACCTCTAGTTTCAAGAAGCTCCCTAACCAGCACATTGCCATCAAATACCTTAAGGGTCGTAATGGGGCCTGAGAAAGCTCGGCGTTGACCATATATCTTGGAAGACTGGTGGCAAAACTCGTAGATCGCCATTTGACAGATGCCCTGCATTCACATCACAGACTTCTGCTGTTGCCAAGGACGCCATGTAATCTCCTGAAATTATGGCGTGTGACCTAACGGTCAATGAAGCGAGTTGAGATTCATAAGTTCCCATATTTAAATTCTAGCGAAACAACAATACTAGTTGATTTTTTCCATCTGTTCAAGACTATATGGACAAATTTATCTGTCTATGTTGCTCATACTCTAAAAATATTGTCACACCCGTATCGGATCCGTAAAAAATTGCAATACTTTTGGAAGATCCAACAATCATCCACAACACTTTTGAAGAATCCGAGCAAAATGGATATCCAGTACCTATGTTGGTGGAAGGTGGGAGGCAGCAGGCAGGGGAGTAGCTAGAGTGCAATTTACATGTTTGGTCAAACTCATTAGCTTTTGTTCAAACGCTATGCTCATCTTAAAAAATCCACTACAAATTATTAATTTAAAATCCACCAAATATATACAGATTGTAAATATAAAACCCAGTAACTTGAGAAAACAAGAATTCCGAATTCAACAACAACAACAACATACCCAGTATAATTTCAGTAGGTACGTTCTAAATAGGTTAAGTTGTACGCAGACATTACCACTATCTCTGAGAGATATTGTTTCCGAACTAATAAACTTCAAACCCATATACCAAAGATGTAAGAAAAGTAACAATTACAATTTTGCAGTTGTACTCATTACAACTGACTGAAGTTATAGCCTAATAGTCACAAGTCCAAGTTGATTACGACTTCCAACATAATAACTATCGGTTCAGTGACTATACGAGAAATCAACCTGTCAAAATGTAGAGATCTCTCATCCCATCAAGCACACAAAGATGAAATTTTTCTTTAAATAAAATTAAATTATGAGTGTGTGAAGCTAATTTCATATTTTTTTAACCTCAACCAAAATTTGGGTTTTATTTATCCAAATTCACAAAACCAAAAAATCAAAATCATAAACAAAACAGATAAAATCAACACCCAAAAAAAGCAATAAAGGATAAAAAAAATTACCTTTTTATGAACTTTTGTGGAATTCAAGAATGAAGCTTTTGATGTTGAAATTGTAAATTTCGAAGTAGATCTAATCTATATATTGAGTATATTTTAATATCCAACATCACTGTTTATTGATTCATTCAGTGACGATGGACCACTCTCTTATCTTGTTGGTTTTTTGGCCACTCATCAACAATTTTCAATTGGCCACTGTTCAATTTATACCATTCGAGTTTTAATTTATTTGATCTATTTTGACTTGATACGGAATTTAAGAAAATATTTTTTTAATTAAAATTACGTCCAATGTATCAAAAAATCATTTATAATCTTATTATTTTAAACTTATCGCGAGAGTTAAAATTAAAATTAAAATATTGCTAAAAGAAAAGGATCATTTTGATTAAAAAGAAAAGTATGCTAATCAAATTAAAATAGAAATAATATTTTTTATGCAGTTTCATTTATATATATACAAAACAAAAAAAATGAATTGTAAATTGATCATCAGAGTGAAAGAGCAAAATATAACATAATAATTTAAATGTAATTTGACACTCATAATTTTATAATAACTACAATAATTATTGAAGAAATGAAGTGATGAGGTTTTATTGGAATTTCAAATAAAATTTGAAAAAACGGTTAAATTATTACCTAATTAATATTAATATTCTCCATTATTACGTGATTTTCTTTCTTATTTAAGAGTCATAATTATATAAGAAAATTTATAGTTGAGTATATTAATATGACTTTATTTAGAGAAGAAAATAGCAAAGAGAGAATATAAGAAAATGAAATAAATGATAATAATGACAACATTATATGTATATTTTTAACTTGGAAGAAGACGGAAGAAAGAGAAGAATTAGAGGGAGGATTTGAAGAAATAAAATTAATATTAATAATTAAATTTTTTCGAGTTTTTTCATTAAAAAAATCAATAAAAACAGTTTTAAGAAGATGTCATCTCACCTTTTTATTATTTAATTTTAGTTTTGTATATTTTAGTATTAAAAATAATTTAAAAATTCAAAATAAAAAAATAACAAATCAAATTTTGTAAAAACAAATTATACAATGCTTATAAAGTTATAATAATTGATTCCTGGGATTAAACAAATAAATAAAAGAAAGTAAGAAGAACAAAGAAAGGAAAATGAGTGATTTAAGAAAATGATATAAAATAACATTAATATGTAATTAAGGGAATGTAAGAAAAGATGAAATGAATTAAAATATGACTATTTTAAATATAAAATTGTAAGGTAAACCTTTTAGATTTTTAAAATTAACAAAAGGCCAAGAAAAAAACTATTTAAAAAATAACAAATATCTTATTTATAGTTTAACAATGTTGCATCGGTAAATAGCCTCTATTTTTTTTTTTCCTTATAGCTAATTAGCAATACCTTATAATAATAAATTGATATGAATTTTAATAAATAGTTGTTTTCTTTCTCTATATAATTCTTTCTGGATCTCCTTCTAATTTAATATAAATTCCATAAATAAATTGATTCTTTATCAAAATGTTTTTTCTTGCTATACCAGACCAGTTTATCTATATCCAACTTTATATAAATTGTTCACAATTGTAATATTACGTTTAGTAATTTATTAATAATTGAAGGCTCAAAAGTGTTATTAGTTCTATTGGCCAAGGATATTTGTGTCAACACAAGTTGAAATTAAGATATTTTGTTCTAATCCTACATCTTGAGATGAACATGATAATTGCAAGATAAACTTACATATATTTCTTAATATCTTAATTAGCTTCGTCTAACAAAAATAAATACTTTTAATCCGCCTTGCCGCTCCCCGCATAGTCATGTAATTTGGACGAAAGCTCAGGCAATTGTGTTGAAGTTTCCTAATGTTTTTTGTTTTATTTATTTATGTTTGCATTTTAATTGATCAAAAGTGTTTTGCTTACTGTTTGGTAAGTAAAAAGTATTTATATATAATCAGATAAACGCTTACCATCAAGATTTATAGTGGGATGGATAGAGTCCCTCTATTCCTAGCTATAAACTTTTCAGATCCAAATTTAAAATGAAAAAAACTCTTGATATAGTATGTTTTTCCTTTTAATTAGTCATATACAACACAAATTAAAATTAATCGAGTCAATTCATTCTTAATATCCTGAATGATATATAAAAAATTTAAATCTTTTCATTCTAGAATGTACTCTAGTATAAGAGGATGAAATATAGTCTTAAATATACTACTAGATAGGATTATTATCTTCTCAAATGAGAAAAATCTACATGTTATATTCTTGTAAATTTATTCTTCAAATTGTTGATGTGTGATATGTAATAACAAAAAAAATAGTATCATACAATACAATATATTATGAAACAATATGTAACAACCATTGAAACAAAGTATTTATTCATAAGAAAACCCTATATTTATTCATAATTCCCAGATCCAAAAGTAATTAAGAAATCAGAGTTCCAACAATTGAATACTTAGCTTCGAATTTGGTCTCCCAATCATTGAGAACACCCATTTCTTTCTCAGATAACCCATCAAGAGATGGAGAAACATCTTCTTCGTTCTTGCTCATCTTTGCAAGTGCTCTGCTTGCATCTTTTCCGGCGAACATACAGTAAGGCCCACCGGGACCATAGAACGAATTACCGGCGCTCACATCGAAGATTCGACCTTTGATTGCCACGTAAATTGGCTTTGATGGATCTGATCCGTCATATGCCTTGAGCTCATCGGCTGTTAGCTCCATGATTTCTAAATGAGTTTTGGTATCGCTTTACTTGTGGTGGGTAGCAAGTGATGTGATACTTATTTTGATTTCCTCCTTTACCTGAAGCTTTCTCCTACACACGCATTTACTAATTATTATTGGAGCTAATAGCATTTGTGGTCCTTTAATTATTAATAAATTGCAACTTTAGTATACTTGTGATATCTGATTAATTAAAACACACACATAATATATATATGACTTTTAATTAATTGAAACAAGACATTTTAATTTAATTGGCTTGTGAATATTTACAAAAATATTATGATAATCAATCATTTCAACACTTACTAATACTAAATTAACCAAATTTTAGCTATTATTAAGATGTCTTATGATTAATCAAATAACTTGATTTTTAACGTCTTACGTTCTTTTAATAAATTTTGAAATGGACCTATTAAGAATTTTATATTTCAATCGTTGTAATTTGCTCAATGTATGACAATTGTCAAATAGTTGGATTATGTTTCAAAGGTACTTGTTATATTTAGACCAATAAAAGACGATTAGAGTAAACTATTTCAGAATATATAGATAACTATGATGGTTGCAACTTTACCATAAACCAACCGTACAACATTTTTCATGTACACACTCAGACCATTGTCATATTTTACTTATATTTGAACCCATTTTATAGCCCATGCAATCGTATAACATTTAACAAAACTTATTTACTTTGTTTTAGAGAGGCGGGTAATGAGTTATGTATGATTCGTTATTGCAAAGTTGATCACACTCAAAATTCCGCCTAAAAAGGATAAGCGATCGCTATAAATATAATTCGATTTTTAAGTTCGAAATCGAATTCTTCATAGAACTAAAAAGTAGAGTATAAAGTGAGTAAAGCGTAATTTTTAGGTATATTTGTAATTATTGGATCTAGACAATCTTAGAAATCTTATAATGACTGAAGAAAGAATTTAGGAAACTTTCATAGACACACTATATAAATAATGATTAAACTTGAGATCCTTCATTTATTAATAAATTGTGATTTTAGTTATTCGTATATTTGACTAAATATATTGACTTTCAATTAAATTAGAATATACACTTTTGATCCATTCACTTGTGAATATTTACAAATATATTATGATTATCAATTGTTCATCACTGAATTACTCATGTGTTATATATTATATTTCATACCTAAAGGAATTCAAAAACACACATTTTCAATTAATTAAGAGTTAAATTTGCTATGTCTTTTTAGCTCCGATAAATTTACTATGCAAAGAAACACACATAATAAGCACATAACGATTTTAATAATGATCAAATAATGACAAAAGAACACATAAAGTCTTTATAACAGATTATTATATGCATTTTTAATGTCATTATAACAATTACCATTATACTTGTATAATGAAAATAATAGTAGTTTGTGATTTTCTCCTTATCCTTTTAATTTGTGTACTCTTTATATCCCAAAGAAATTAACACTACAATTGTTTATTATTTAGATGTCAAATAACTTTTTTAACTCAATTTTTCAATTACATGAAAAAACTTTTTTAACTATAAAAGTTTTAATTAATATTACTCTTGTTTCTCCCCCACACAACTCCATTTTTAAAAGAATTTAAAAGTTGATATCTTCATTTTCATCATTTTTATTTTCTTCTTTTAAATCTATTTTAATATGTGTTATTTGAATCAATGTTTTTTCAGAAATAATTTCTCTACCTCCACGAGATAGAGATAAAATCTGCACATATCATATGTCATCAATCTCTACTTGTAAAACTATATGGTATGTTATTGTTAATTCTCATAATCTATAAAGGTGTTATTTTTGGGATTGAAATAATTGAAAATTTAAAAAATGGTTGACTACCAGTCAAACTCTTTATTCCACATGGTTGTCTCTCATTGGCTGGTCAAACTTGAAAATTCTCATAATTTGAGAATTGGGCCTTACCACCTAAAGCAAGCCCAGCCCACTTAAAATCCTTAAAATGGAAATAGGAAAAACAACAAGGAACAATAGCACTTTGGTCCTTCAATTATTAATAATTTTTATTTTAATTCTTATAATATTTGATAAAGCAAATTTAACTCTTAATTAATTGAAAATGTGTGTTTTTGAATTCCTTTAGGTATGAAATATAATATATAACACATGAGTAATTCATTGATGAACAATTGATAATCATAATATATTTGTAAATATTCACAAGTGAATGGATCAAAAGTGCATATTCTAATTTAATTGAAAGTCAATATATTTAGTCAAATATACAAATAACTAAAATCACAATTTATTAATAAATGAAGGATCTCAAGTTTTATCATCATTTATATAGTATGTCTATGAAAGTCTCCTAAATTCTTTCTTCAGTCATTATAAGATTTCTAAAATTGTCTAGGTCCAATAATTATAAATATACCTAAAAAAATAACTTTTATGTATATATATATTTACTTGTGCTAATCTGAAATAACATTTCTATCTCTAACTCAAAGTAAAGTCCGCCTACGTCTTACGCTCTACTCTCTTCACAATCTACTTTATTAAATTACGCTAGGTACGTTATTATTTATTTTTGCTTGTGCTAAGCGTTGTTCTCTCCGCACATCACTTTATTGAATTATGCTGGGTACGTTGTTGTTTATTTTTATTTGTGCTAAGCTATTTCAAGATTAACAAATTAGTTTCTTTTCTCTGCATTCTACTTTATTGAATTACGTTGGGTACGTTGTTGTTTATTTTTAATTGTGCTAAGCTATTCCAAGATTAACAAATTAATTTCTTCTCTCCGCACTCCACTTTATTGAATTATGCTGGATACGTTGTTGTTTATTTTTACTTGTGCTAAGCTATTTCAAGATTAACAAATTAGTTTTTTTGTTTTGTGTGTTGGGAGAAAATTGACAACAAGTGTTAAGGTGACAACATGTGTTATGGTGGGGTTGCTTTATCCTTCCTTTTCCCTTTTTCCCCCTTTTTCCCCTTTTCCCCTTTTTTTGCTGCATTTTTCTTTTTGGGGAAAAAATATTTTCATGAAATGAAAAGAGAAAATCCATTTAGGCATAAATTAATTTGAGATGGTCAACCAACAAGGATTGTGCTGGAGTGACAAGTACTCCTTCATTCTTAATCAAAAAGTGTCGGGTTCGAGCCTCCTTGGGTACGGAGTCGCATTTGTTAGGGAGCATTTTGTGGGACTTTTCAGTGGTGCGAATTCAGATTTAGTGGGGCTCCAATGTGAATATCGAACACCGGGTGGGAAACCAAAAAATAAATAAAAAATTTGAGATGGTAAAAGAATAAGATTTTTCTAATTCCTCTTTTTTTAAAAAAAAAAATTGTTTTAATTTTTTTTTACCTTTTTGTTCTTTGCATAATCTTGATCCTCTTATGCTTCAACACCAATTTGCCTTTCTGAATTTGTTTCACTGAATCTTTGTTAATGTTTAAGTCTTTATTTCCTTACTTTAATCAATGTTTGGTACTTACTTAGAGGAGAACATATGAGAAAAAGTAGCGGCGAAGTTAGAATTTTACTAAAAATATTACAGTGGCGGCTCAATTTTTAATTTTTTTTGTTGTGGCGGCTCAAGTTAATTAGTGGTCTAAATCCAAAAATAAATTTGAGACCTAACTTTTAATTATTTTTTTATTTTTATTTCTAGATTCAAAGTTCTTTCTTTCTTTCTAATAGAAAAACTTTATTTTTTCTATGACCTTAAACTTTTTTTATATATATAAACCAAAATATTTTTTAATCTTGTGGTCTTAACATATTATGTGAAAGTTAAATTTAAAATTTGACCCCAAAAAAACATTCTTTAATATTTTGAAACAAACTAAAAAAAACGCAAATAAATTAAAATATATAGTATTTTTTTTTTGTTAAAAAGGCTTATAATAATTTTATTATTACTAAAAAATTGAGCCTTCAAATTTGGGGGCCTAAGGGGTATGCCTCATTTTTAAAAGCATTGAGCCGCCCCTGAAATGTTGAAATATATATAGAAGGAAACATGAGAAAGAAGCAAGAGGATTAGGTCAATATCTAATATATATACAGAAAAAGGTAGTAATTTAATCTTTACGCATAAAGTGCAATTGTTCAACGGAGTCAGGATTTTACTAAAAATATTGAAATATATAAAAGGAAACACAAGAAAGAAGCCAAGAGCATTAAGTGGACATCTAATATATATATATGAAAAAATAGTAAATTTAACCTTTATGTATACGGTGTAATTTTTCAACAGGGTCAGGATTTTACTAAAGATATTGAAATATATAGAAAGAAACATAAGAAAGAAGCCAAGAGTATTAAGTCGACATCTAATATATATACATAAAAAAGTAGTGAAATTTAAGTTGCACTTATATGATGTAATTTTTCAACGAAGGGGATTCTGATGAACTCCTTGTGCCCCTAACTCCGCCCTTGGCTGGAAATGCATGTTCATTTCAATTGCCTTAAACTAAAATCTCAAATATGCATTAGATTATTATTGGCTCACCTTGTTTGCCCTTTTTGTTAATGTTTTTGAAACAAAACTATAAGATGAAGGAGGGATGTCTATATATATATATATATATATATATATATATATATATATATATATATATATATATATATATATATATATATATATATATATATATATATATATATATATATATATATATATATATATATATATATATATATATATATATATATATATATATATATATATATATATATATATATATATATATATATATATATATATATATATATATATATATATATATATATATATATATATATATATATATATATATATATATATATATATATATATATATATATATATATATATATATATATATATATATATATATATATATATATATATATATATATATATATATATATATATATATATATATATATATATATATATATATATATATATATATATATATATATATATATATATATATATATATATATATATATATATATATATATATATATATATATATATATATATATATATATATATATATATATATATATATATATATATATATATATATATATATATATATATATATATATATATATATA